AAAGGCTGGATAAAGTACATTTTACAATCCTTTCTAATGCATTGCTGTACTGAGAAGAATGGATGGAATCCACAGAAATCTAAAAAGAAGTCAATAAAGGAACCTTCGAGGCAAGCAAATCCTGAGCTGGATTTTTCTTGAGAGCAACAAAGCCTAGATGTATTGACCTCCCCTCAGGAAATCACTGTGGCAAAGAGGAGAACCCCTACAAGGAGCCAGGACCCGCAAAGGGCTAACGCCTCATTTTAGCTGGAAGGGTAAAAACACTTACAGCTGCAAGATTACTAGTACCCCAGATTATCTTGAATTTACTGCTAGAGGGAAAATAAAAATCTCTTCTGAGAAATCATAACTGTGTATCACGTGAGTGTGAGGCTTGAATCCATACTACTTTGTAGCCTGAAAAAAATCTCATGAGAAAATTTAAAATAGTCCTGGATTAGTAGTGCCTTAGGTGACTGGCAAAAACAAATACATATCCTGTCTCCAGGAAAGGAACTTAAACACAGTCCTTCTTAAGAAAAGCCATTTAAAAAGGCCCAAGGAAGAATATGATTCACAGTTAAAACATAAAAGAAAATAAAACACATGAGCAAATAAGCCACCATCTGTGAGAGATGGATGAAACAAAAGCCAAGAAATGTAAATTCAGAAAGAATATAAAACAATATTAAGAGGTATAGTTAATGTTATCTACAGTTATCTCCCAATAAAAAAGTATCCAGGGAATAAAAAACTATACTGAAGAACTGAGAAAAATAAAAAAAGAACCCAAAAGTAACTATGTTCAAGTCAATACACAGAGAGTAATTTTTGTTAATGTGAGCTCTATCCAGCAAAGATATATTTCAAGGAAGTGATGACATAAAGACGTACTCAGATAGACAAAAACTGAGAATTTCCCATCAGCACACTCTAAGGGAAATTCTACAGGACAAAAAAGTGATTCCAAATGGAAGACTTGAGATGCAAGAAAAATGAAGAGCAAACAAAGCGGTAATTATGTAGATACATCTAAAGAAACACTTCAGGGGTGCCTGGATGGCTCAGTCCATTAAGTGTCTGACTCTTGATCAGCTCAGGTGTTGAACTCAGGGTCATGAATTCAAGGCCCACATTGGGCTCCACAATGGGTGCAGAGACTACTTTAAAAAAAAAAAGGAAAGGAAAGGAAAGGAGAGGAAGGAAGGAAGGAAGGAAGGAAGGAAGAAAAGAAAAGAAAAGAAAAGAAAAGAAAGAAAGAAAGA